AGCATTCCCCTGGGAGATGGGAAACTTGCCCCATGCCATGGGCTGTGTGTGTCCCCCATGTCTCCCTCCTCGGACACCAATGTCCCCAAGTCTCCCCTCCATGCCAGGTGCTCTATGTAAGCCCCATTCCCCCATCTTATTCCTTTTCCCTCTGTCTGGGAGAGAAGTCATTTAGGTGTCAATATTTTTAAATTGTAGTGGGAGGATGGGCGGAGCTGAGATGGGGGCTACTGTTATGCTGGAAGGTGTCAATGGCTGGCTGCCATCAACTGGTTCTTTGATCTTCAGACAACTGAACAGGTGGTTGAAGCTGCTGGGTGCTAACCAGATGCTAGAACTCCATGTATCCCCCGTTTCCCTCTTTCAGTTTTTCCACTTTTCACCAAAATCTATAGGGTTCTGCCCACTGATGCCTAGAACATTCCCTGAAATTTTGGAATTGATCTGATACAACATACAAAAGTTATATTACATACAAAGAAATGCCATAGAATTGAAGGAGACAAGGTAAGTAAAGTAATACCTTTTATTGGATCAACTTCTGTTGGTGGAACAGCAGATGCAAAACCTGCAGACGTATCTCCACTGCTATGGATGATCAATACTACCCACAACACACCTTTCAAGATTCATGGGTCCTACACATGCTTATTGTAACACGTAGCATACCTCATCCAGTACATCAAATGCCCCAACAACTATGTTTGTGAAACCAGAAAATCACTACGCTCTCAAATGAACTCACACAGAAAAATGATAAAAGACAAATACTCCTATCACCTGTGGGCAAACTCTTTTCACAAAGTGATCACTTCACATTTGACCTTTCAATGCTAGTGCAGGTTTCCCTTGAGGAGAACACCTTCAAAAGATGAGCCTGGGAACTTAAATTCATAACTCTGCTAGACACCAAAAGCCATGGACTTAACAGGGACACTGGTTTTATGGCTCATTACAATTTGTAACACACCACACAGCCTGCTACCCTTAATTGCCCACTTCAAACCCTTCATGCGTAACAATCTAACTCCCAATTGCCCACTTCATTTCAAGTGACGACTCCCATGTTACCTCTTCCATTTAACAATCTCTCCCAACTTGTAATTAGCTCAGGCCTGGTCTACACTAGAAAATTAGATTAGTATAACTAGGTCGTTCACGGGTGCAAAAAAATCCACACCCTTGTGTGATACAATTAAACAGGCCTAAACCCCCGCTGTAGAGAGAATTCTCCCCACGACCTAGCTACTGCCTCTCTGGGAGATGGATTATTTGAACCGAGGGGAGAGAACCCCTCCTGTCAGTGTAGGCAGTGCAACTGCATCGCTGCAGCATTTTAAGAGTAGATGAGCCCTGAGACATTCTGCTTCCTTCCCCAGACCTGAAGAGCTCTCCGTAGCTCAAAAGCCCATACCTTCCACCAACAGAAGTTGGTCCAATAAAAGATATTACCTCATCCACCTTTTCTCTCTCATATCCTGGGACCAACACAGCTACAGCAACACTGCAAAAACAGAGTTGAATGTAATGCCTTGCTTCACTCAGCCAATGATCTAATTTGTCCCTTCTGCCCTTTCAGGTCTATGAATCCTTGCTCTCCATAATTTTCCTCAAGAAGTTTTCAACAACACTCAGTGAAACTTGACACTTGATCAGTAGTGTGAAGCTATTTAAAATGGAGCCTAAGGTAGAGGACACAGCTACCCTACCAAAGCTGCTACTTTTTGTTTGGGGTCCATTTACCAATCTCTCCAGACCCTTACCATTCTCTTGAGTAGTTTGGTTGATTTCCAGGTCCCCCCATGGCTGCCACACCACGTCCGCCTTATGCTTGTCAGCTGATGCCAAAGATCTGTCTTGGAGCACAGGGATTTCTGCTTGAAACCGGGATCCCACGTTGATTCGCCTGGGAAATGGAGAACAAATAATGACAATGACCACCTCACAATATCTAGAAGGCACCTATCTTCTAAAAACACAATCGATCCCAAAGAGATTAAAACATAGGCCACGTGATAGCCATAAGGCAAGAACAACATTCAGTAACTAGTACTACTTGAGTCAGACCTAAGACGGTGATCTAGAGGCGAAAGGCTCCGTGCCCTATCACCAATTTCTAGTGTTGTTTTATTAATTATGTTGTTCTATTTAACGAGAGGGTCCCTTAGAACTGCTGAACTTCAACTCAGTCTCTAATCTGAGGTCTGATTACTTACAAAGCACCCAGCTCTAATACAAATCAAGACCATTCAAGCAGTGTATTAGGTTCTAGTAGTTTTCCCTTGGTTCTCCTAGCTGACCAATGTGCAGGACAGAAGCGGTGCTACCCAGATTCGAAATCAACAGAGAGATTTGATTACAGGAGGAAAGGAGAAGAAAATCCACAACCAGCCCCACTGAGCACAACTACACACTGTACTATTTCATGAGTCCAAATATGAGCACAACCTTTGACTACCCTCTTTCCCACTTCATATCTCTGCCATCATTTGACTTACTGAGCAGCATTAACAGATGGCTTGAGATAGAGTGAGCAACTGAACAAAAGACAGGCAACTCAAAACAAAAGTATAGGGTAAGTATGAACTATGGTCACGTGCTGGCAGACCCAAGAATAAAAATTAGTAGATCACACTAAAAATATCTTTTCTACAGAATAAAAATGTCTCCTGTCATCTTTTCCTCCATTTTTTTAAAATTAGTTCCAAGAAAGGATTTAGAATTAGAATCACATTATCAGGCATACACAGATCTGCCATCTGCAGGGAGGTGAGGTGAGGCTGAATGTCACAGCACAGGCGGTTACAGTGCTCAAGAAGTCTGTTTCCAAGAAAAGCTATTATGCTGCAAAAGAATTTATTTGAGAGATGGGATGAATAACGCTCTGTTAGTCTGAAGACCAATTACGTTACTACTTGCAACAGTTATTGATAATGCCCAATGCCCTGAGCCTGTAAACACTTATGCACATACTAGCTTAACTTCAGTGGAACTTCTCAGGGTTGTAAACACGACTGGGCCAAGTAGAAAAGTTAAGCATGTGTGTTTTTGCAGAATTGGGGCCCCAAGAGTGATTGCAAGATAGATCCTTGCATCCCACTCCTTGAAATGGAATTGTCCCCATTACCTGCTCTATCAAGCCATGCAGGTCATGAGGAGGGGTAAGACAGGTAAGTGGAATTAGCACTGGAAAGGGAACTCATGAAGACATTGATACAGAAGATAAATGTTAAGTGTGACAAATTACCTTATAAGAAACAATGAAAATGTTAAACTGCAATTTTGATATATTTAGATAATCCGATCAGTTTTAAAGGGGGACTACATCGGGCCAAGAACAGATTAGAAAAAAGAAAAAAGAAAAAAAAAGTTTGGGGGCCCAGGAGAATGAAAAAGCATCAAGAACACCCTCAATGGGTAATATTGCTGGAAAAAAACAAGTCACTACATACCCACAATGAAAAACTCAAATCTACCTTTCAGAGGCATGATTTGCAGATATGGACCTAACTGAACCAGAGGGCCCACACCACAATGCCCTATGATGCCAAACATTTTACAAGTAGGCACAGAAAATAACCATTACTTTTAGTCTTCAACCTGACCTTTCCAATGCTTGTTCCGCTTAAAACAAAAGCGCAAGAAATTTTTGGCCATAAGAGCTTAAGCAAAATGGTGAATCTGACTGCAACCTGAAACCTCCAAAGATAAAGTTTCACAAATTCCAATGAAGGATCACATTCTTTGCTGGCACAATTCTACTGATTTAATAAGTTACACCAAAATGAGAATTTGGCCCAAATCAATTACATATTTTGTGACTCAAAGGCCACGATCTAGATGAAGAAACTGATCTCTTGATGACAATAGTGGTCAACACCAGGTTCCACTGCATTGGTGTGAAACAATTTAACAAGTGATTAACAACAAAATGGTTGAAGAAAGCATGACGGGGCTACGTTTACACTACGGAGCCTATGCCCTAGTGTTGATGCAGCATACACCAATAAAAGGTTTTTTGCCGGTATAGGAACATCACCTGTCTGAATAGCTATGTCGACTTCTGTCATCACAGCTATGCCTATGCTGGTGGTTTAATCAGCATAGCTATGACGGTCAGGAGTGTGTTTTTTCACACTCCTGACTAACATAGTTATGCTGCTATAAGTTTTAAGTGTAGACGAAGCCTCATACTGGATGGAATTTGCAAAGGTGCTGAAAATGGTTCCATCTCATGTACAATAGTAGTTAAACCATTTTCAGCATCAGTTGCTATAAGTTCTAGAATCACCAGATAGTAGCAAGATAAAGTAGGGAGAAAATGATTAATGCAATTTATATTTTTAGGGTTAAAGGCTCCCCTTTGTTTTGCTAACTCAGTTACCATTACTGAAAAGAAAAGAAAAGAAAAGAAAAGAAAAGAAAAGAAAAGAAAAGAAAAAGGAGAAAGCCCTATGAATTTGTTCCTGAAGCTGGTTACATTCTGAAAATTAACTATGTTTGTCCATTCTGTGCTTTGCCTTCCCTTTAAGAAGCAATATTTCCTAACTCTTAAAAAAGTATACAACATGCATAATAATGTTTATGCATGGCGGAATGACACAGTGACCCTATCACCTTTAGTTAACTACAGTAGTTCAAATTCAGCCCAGCAACTGAACAGTAGTGATGGAAAATAGTTACCACTGTGGCAACTGTTCAGTGGACCATAAGAAATTATATTTAGTGCGTGTATCATCAATAGATTTACTCTGCCTCAATTTTAAAAAAAGAAAACCCTACACTTTTAATAAAAAGACACTCATAGGAGTGAGTTTGTACGTTTCTAAAAGATAAACCAACAAAAGGGGACCCTGCAGCACTTTCTTATCCTCCTAAATCTGTAAGCCGTGTAAGGAATACATGCTTGCCATTAAGCGAGGAGGTGGATTTTGTATGACTGTATTGATACTTACGGTTCAATGCTGACTGGGGTGGCCTCCCCCATTACTGAAAGGATGGGAGGGGTGACTTCTGAACTATCTGTAAGACAAGCAACAGACTTGCTCAAAACTCATCGATTTTATGTTTGGGCCAGATGTGGAAGTGTGTGAATACCACATGGAGCACAGACTTTCCATCACCCAAAACAGGCACTCAACTGCTAAAGAACAGTAAGCTGAAGAGGGATTTTTGAATTTTCACCCACCATTTCATTCTGGTCCACCATTTTCATTACAGTAACCCATCCCTTAAAGCAAACTCTTTCTCATACTTCAGCTAAACTAATCCCATGCTTGAGAGAACAACTAACTCTTTCAAGACTAAATCTTTTCTTTAGGAAGTTAGTAGGGGGTGCAGGAGATCAATGGTGTAACATCTCCAAATATGGCAGCATCACTTCTGCTACATCCCACTTCCCAGAGTCTCCCAACAGGAAGCTCCACATCCAGCTATCCATAACTGTCTAAGAGAGCCATAATTTCCTTCATGTTGGCACTCAGCCTCCCACTCCCAACAAGACAAAGAAAGGAACTTACTAGATCTCAGCAGAGTTCTGTGAGTACTTTTAGGGGTCATTGGAGGTGGGATTGAGAGACCACTAGCAGAGAGAATAGCATTGAAATACAGCCCAGACCCTTCTCTCACTGGGCTGAGAATCGGTGGAGGTGTGTAAGGAGGAGGCTCAAAGTTCCTATCTGAAGGGTGATCTGCAAGGCGCACAGGTGAGCGTAAGTGGCTCTGATATGGAGTGATGTTGGAATAGACTGGAGGGACAATGAAGGTGCCTGCTTTTGGTGGTATGAAGAGTGGCTCAGGTCTTGGGCGCTGCTTTGGTTTCCGGGAAAAGCCCTCCGATTCTTCCTTTGGAACAGCATCTTCATGCTACAAAAAGAAAAATCTTTTTAATACAACCTTCTAAACCAGGGGTTCTCAAAGTGTGGGTCACAGCCTCATTTTGATGGGGTCACTAGGGCAGAAAGCCCCTGCCCAGAGGTCCACAGGCAAGGGAAGCTGAAGCCCCAGCCAGCCCGCCCACCTCTCCGCAGGCAACTGTGGGCTGAAGCACTGAAAAAAACAAAAAAAACAAAAAAAAACAAATACAGGTCAGGTCTCGCTGTTGAAGATGACCTCCGTCTTTACCTCAGCCACACAGAGCCCCACTTCAATGATTTGTGTTCATCAATGCAAGCTCACCCCTCCCATTAGGTGCATACTTATTTTTTAACTACTGGATATAAAGATTGTCTTGTGATTGTATTGTGCATTAAAATATTTAGTGGCTACTTTTTGTTGATACGGCCTTGTAATGCATTTTTTTATTTAAAATACTAACTATTCTGAGTAACACAGGGTACGGGGATCGTGCAGTAATTTTTCTTGTCAGAAGCGGGTCGCGGAGCAATGAAGTTTGAGAAACGGTGATCTAAACACTAAATTGTATTTTAATGATGCCTTCAGATTGTTTAAAAAATTTCAGTGAGATGACATGCTCAGTGCACTGCAGGATAGGAGCTGGCTAGGGCTGCTTAAGAGTCACTGCATGCAGCCCTAATGGGGGCGGAGGGGAGGCAACTATTATTCAGCGACAACACTTCTGGTAGATTATAAAGTTGCATTTACAGGCTCCAGACAGAGGTCCAGTCTGATGCTGGGTTAGAAAGATGGTCATGAAGGGGGAAGATGGGATTTTAACAGAACTCTGACACACACAGATGACCCCACAGGGTGAGAGGAGGAATGAGTCACTTTGAATGATAGAACAGAGGAAAATCCAAGGGTCTTTTCTCAAAAGTCTGCAGCTGCTTAGAAACTATATCCTATTTGTCATCTCTCCAGCCAGCAAAATTATCCACTATAATCCTTTATCTCAATCTCTCTCTTCTGGCTAGATGCAATATTAAAATAAATGAATAAAAAGTAGATATTGAGGGAACCCCACCAAGGGATTCTTATAACATCATGGTAGCCATGTGAACAAAGGTCCAGTTTGGGACTTAGAACCCAAAAATAGACACATAGTTTTACAACTCAAAGTTACATGTGCATGAATGGTAAAAATGCCATTTAGCAGAGCTATGCTCGAAATAAGGGAAGATCACTTGAATAAAGCAAGCTTCCAACAGCAAACACATTATTTACTCAGAGACACATTGTTTACCTTCATTTCCTCTAACCTCCAGACTTTTTGTGGGCACAGATTAGCCATCAGATGGCAGGGGTGCACATAAAAAAAATCCAACCTTCTACATACAGGACTCAGATATGGTCTCTGGATCAAATTCAGCCAAAAGACCAGGTGCCCCTTTCAAGTTTAGGAGACTCAAACTACTCATTCACAATTAAAAGCTGTTTCAACAGAAAGGATGAAGCTGGGCACATAGATCCAGCAGACTTCAGTCTCCCTAGGTCTATTAACGTGACCATACCTGGACTGAGGTTTCCATGTTGGAGCTGCGATTGGACCTTCTTCGGGTGACTATCACAGAGGGTTTGCGTTCAGAAAGACCTCGATCATTTGCCAGCACCCTCTGGAGTTTCCCTTCCTCACCCTTTTCCTTCCCAATAGCTTGCAAGTCAAATTTCTTCACTGGCACAGAGACAGGCATGATTAGAGGAACAAGACTGCTATCTTCCCGGGGTCTCTTGGAGGCTTGTGGAGAACTGGCAAATTCCAAAACACTTTTGGCTGCTGCAGGTGCTGCAGCTACCACAGTCTTCTTCTCTTCTGAAGTATTCAATTCCTGAAGACAAGAAGAAAAAAATCCCACATGCACCTTAAAAGTTTTAAATCACCCACCTTTTAATCAGACAATATGTCACTTTCAATCTAAATCTCTTATTTCAGGGTTCCATGGTATTCTCAACATATCATTCTCTTAGCTGGAAAGTACTCAGAACTACAATACCTGGGAAAAAGGATACTTTATCTGAACTATCTTCCAAAGCTGGCAAAACTACTTTAGAGTTGTCCCATTTATTTCAACCGGCGTTAGAAACAGTATAGACTATTCTCTTGATCCTTCATTCCCACATCCATAGTTTTACATTTTGTTTTCCAGATTGACTTATGCCCTGCACATAACTTCCCCGATACTTCCCCATAAGCACATGGGGAAGTATTTTCATTATTTTGGGAACATCTGTATATTGCAGTTCCAAGTGTCTGACTTTTGATCCAAATTGCTGAACTGTAATATACCTGCTTTCCCTGGTTCTCCCTCTTCTTTGAGAACTCACATAATTGAATTTCTTGACCAAAGAACTAAACTGACTTTTGTACTATACTTTATTCAGTGGAAATGTACCTGAATAAATAAATGAATAAATAAACCTCTTTCATCAGCTCTGTGGTCTTCTACCCTTCTTGCATTTGTCTTTATTAAACTTCATCCTGTTTACCTCAGGATTTCTCCAAATCTCTCCAATTTGTCCAGATCATTTTGAATTATGATCTTTTACCTTCCCATGTGAGGGATTCACTGTAAGACCAGTCTAAGCAAGCTTGGAAGAGAACATAGCTCTCAGTTATGCCCCTTAGTTCTTGGCCTCCTATTTCCTCATCTCACCATGTGACATGATACTATGCAGCTTATGGCTATGGAACACTAGAGGAAGCAATGGAGTGATTGCTCTTATCTCTTATTCACCAAGAGATAGCGTGTCTTCCCCAACAAGTCCTACAAAGGCTCCTACGGGCCTTTGTCCTGTAGGTTAGCCAGATTTCTTCAGGGCTGTCTCAATTTGGAATTTTAAAAATTTATTTCATTTTTTTAAATGATTTGTTAAAGAGGTCATCCTTCATGTTTTGACTGTGAGGATTAGTCAAGAGAGGCAGATTTTAAGAAAGAGGTCAGGTGAAACAGGCCATAAGAAACCAAGCCAAGTAGATTTACACCTGTTATTCTAAATTCTTGATCAGCTTGAATAGCTAGCTATATTTTATTTTGAGGGCCTGGGTTAGGAGTTTTATTCAATACCAGTGGAGTAAATTACACTGCTCAGGTAACCGCACTGCACTATGAGGAGCTCACTCTCATACATGTAATAGTTTCTGTAACCGGGTCCCGTCCCCCACCCCGCTACCATTCCGGAACTGACTCTGCAGTAGTATACTCTGTCTCTCTTCGATTAGGTCAAGTATCAGGGGGTGGCGTGTTAGTCTGTATCCACAAAAACAACGAGTCCGGTGGCACCTTAACGACTAACGGATTTATTTGAGCATAAGCTTTTGTGGGTAAAAAAACATCCAAAGAAGTGGGTTTTTTACCCACAAAAGCTTATGCCCAAATAAATCTGTTAGTCTTTAAGGTGCCACCGGACCCCTTGTGGTTTTCGATTAGGTTGACTTCCCACACATTTTTTCTCTAAGAGATGTATTTTTAGGATGTGATATGGTATGGGGGCTATTTTAGAAATGCTATTTTGGTCAGGATGTATCCCTTACCTTGTCATTTTGAAGAGAAGCCAGCTCAACAGCCTTTTGTGCCAGAGTTAGCAGGTTGGCCTCTTGAGAAACACACCGTTTTCTTCGGGTGCTCTGGATCACACCACCTCTCACCCCCACAAAGTCATTAGTTCTCTGAGTGCTTTCTTCGGTCATTGCCACTTGCTTCTCCCCATCTCTGCTATTATAGGATGTGGCCAGCCTCTCTGTGTCAGGCTGGTTCAACTCGTTACTACTCAGGGTCTCCTTTTGTCCTAGGTGTGTTCTCGTGGGCTGTGGATAGTTACCCTTGTTGTGGCCCAGAGCTTCAGTCTCATGCTGAAACTGGAGTCCTTGCTGCTGTGGTTGCCAGTGATGCAGGAACAGATTGCTAGCTTGTTCCTCTACTGGTTTAGAAGCCAATATTTCTCCTGAAGAAGCGGATGGCAAAATGCCTTCCTTGGAGAGTCTCCTTGATCTCCTTGGAAAGGGTATCTGGGTCTGAGGTAGCACAGTCTGTTGGTTTTGCTCTGTTAGGGCTTTCAAGAGTTCCTGGTTCCTCTCCGGTTGCTGGTACTGGTGGGCCACCATATGATGCTGGGGTGCTGTTGCTGCCACATGGGGCTGTGCTATAGAAGCAGCTTGCTGGAGGTTGAAGGCTTGCGTGGTGGCCTGTTGCTGCTGTTGTGGGTAGAAGTTTTCAAACAGTTGCAGCTGAGGAAGAGACTGTTGTTTCTGCTGGGTAGTAAAGACTGGGTTGGAGGAAGCTGGGGCTTGTTGAAAGACATGTAACAATTCAGGAAGGCCTTGCTTCTGGCCTTGGTGACCGAATGCAAGCTGGAAAGGCTGTAAAGGTAGAGTCTGATTCTGCTGTTGCTGCTTCTGCATCTGGTGATACGAATTCATTTGCGCTTGCTGCCTGATTAGTGCTTGTTGTTCCAGCTGACGCTTCTGGGCCATCATCTGCTGAACAGCAGCATCTCCATATATTTCTAGCTGCTGCACCTCCATTTCTTTTTCCTGGCTTCTTTTCAGAGCTTCAGGATGGCCATAGAAACCTGGGGCACTGGCATTGTGGTGAATCCCTTTCTGATTGCCCCCATAGACCACACTGTGGTTCCATGCCGCAGGTGAAGGCTGCCAACTGGAATCAATCCTCTCAGGCAACCTGTTCCCCATCAATGAGTTCTGCCATTTGACAGCAGCCAGCTGCTGAGACATCATCATGGAATCCCCCCTATCTTGAGTATAAACAACAGAGTTCATCAAGGCAACATTGTTGGGAGCACCAGTTAAACCCCCTGCTTTAGAAAGCTCCATAGTTTGTGAAGCAGGTATTTCTCCTCCATGTCCATAGTACTGTCCTTCCTTCAGCTGCTGTTGCAGCTCTTTCGATGGCACAGCTACATCCTGCTCATTAAAATATGCAATCCGTTTCCCAGCCCTCTTGTTTGAAGACTTTTGTTGAGCCTGAAGATTCATGGTTCAGTCTATTCCCAGTTACACACACAGATTTACAACCCACCCATCTCAGAGACTGGGGGAAGAAAAGACACCAAACAGTTCACTTTCCCATCCAGTTCCAGTTTCGTACAAGTCCAGATGGAAGTGCCTCCACCTCCTTTTCCTCTGTGCGCCTTTCCCTTTCTTCCTTCTGCTCTTCTTCTCTGCAGTTCAGAGGATGCTGGAGTCCACTTGATCACAATGCCTGAAACAGAGAATGAGCATCAATAAGTCACCAGTAAGGAGCACAAAACAGCAATAGGACATCAGATGGCATATACACCCTCAGAATCAGCAAACAGTAAGGTGTGTGCCTGTCTCTCCTTCCAAAAAAATCATGACCAGGAAAATCTTGTCCCGTAGGGAATGGAGTGGAGGAAGATAAAATAGATCTGGCCTTCTGTAGAGTCTAACTGATTTATCCCACTCAAAAAGAAATAAAAAATATCAGAGTACTTTTGCACAACAAGAACAGCAGTTGCAAACAGCACTTCTGATTTCAATAATGAACACTTTAGCTCAGGAGTGCCCCAACTTATGGCACGCAGGCCGCACACGGCCCACCACAACATTTCATAAGGCCCGCGTCCTGCTTCAACACAATATACTATCGGCCAATTCATCAGTGTTTTGTCGTCATGTTTACATCATTTTAGTTTATCCAAGTGTATAAATAGACAATACTATACTTAGAAACAAACTATCTAAATACACGTGAAACAAAATGAACTTAAAATATAAATCAAAACAGGTGACTTTTAAAATATGTAGGATCTGTTTGGCTCACACAAGATTGCATTTAGGTTTATGTAGCCCTCTCCTGTGTAAGATGATCGGGCACCACTGCTTTAGCCCACTCTGAAGCCTTTTCTGTTTAACATTCCCACCTTCCTCCCATCAAGCCATTGATTTTTATTTAATTTCTTTCTTGTGAGCGGATCCATCTGCTTTTAATTCAAACCCTGAAAAAATAACGATGACTTGCTAAAACTAAAAAAGGCAAACAATTTAAATCATCTCAGGATTCCCAAATTTCCTCTCTGAGATGGTTTAAAAAACAACAACAAAAAAACACCACCAAAATCTTCAGCTGAACATAAAGGAAAGGTGCTCCATTCAACAATGGGAGAGGAAGGGAAGTAGCCAGTAGCTGTATTGTGGAGAAATCATCTTGCTTCTGCAGCAGACTATCAGCCAACAAATCCCTTAACAGCTCACTACAGGCAAGACCTGCCCAACCTGCTGTACTCTCAATGTCTTTTGCAGCAGTTGGAAGTTGCTATTTCTGCTAAGGGATTTCACACTGAATAGTGGTTCATGAAGAGTCTGGAGGCACCTTTAACGATCTTCAGATTAAATATCTGTCAGTATACAACAGGAAAAGAAGGTCCCTCAAGCACATGAATACACATAATCAAGGATGAAAAGCCACAATAAAGGAAGCCATCTTCTATGGCACATACTCCAGAACGCTCATGGACTGGCACATTCTCTTAAAATGTGTGCTATTAATGACAGTAGTGCACCTTAAGCCTTGGATAAGAATCTTATTATTATCTTAAACTTAAATACATAGAAATACCAGCTCCCAAGTAATGAGGCTATCCCAAACCTAGATATCATGCCATGTCATCAGTATTCTCACAGACTCATCCAGTAAGTCACATTTTACAGAAGAATTATTCCTGAAATGTTTTAGATTTAAAATAATAAATAATAATAATACTATTTGTATCTATCCATCTACAAAGCCAGTCTCTCTTAGCGAACAATCTAACTGTTCAGACCTCAGAGGGAGAGAAAATGCTAATAAATGTTATAATCTCTAAAATGATCTAGAGCAAGTTAATAAAGCCATGATTCCAAGATAAAAAAGCCTTGGGGGCCTACCAGGACAAGAAGTGCCATAGATCCCATTGGAAAGGTAGGAATCTTCACATTCCAATAAGAAATAGCAACCATTTCTAGCTCTCACGAGTCCAAGACTTTTTGATGGGGTGGGGAATGGACAGGAAGGCAGGGAAGAGATGAGGAAATTCTGCATTTGGAAGGGAAAAGAAGAACAGTTATGGCTAATGGTGTAAACATTAAAAAAAAATTAAAAATTTAAAGTATTTAAAATGGCAGCTGTTTGAAACTTAGTTTTGGAATTTTACTAGTAGTCCTGGGAAGATGGCATTAGTGGGCAAAATGTGAGAGGCAGTGAAAGATGCTCAGAAAAAACCTATCGTGTGGATATTACTACTACATATGGGATATGATGGTGCTTTTACTGTATTTCTTTTTTTTAAATTATTATACACACTATTTTTAGAAATGATTCTTATCTACCCTGTATTTTTAAATGATTTAAATCAGATTTTAAATTTAAATATTTCCTTTTTAAAAATAAACCTGTTAAAATTAAATTAGAATTCATGACTACCCATATGAGGTCTAAATTTACTATCATTTATTAAAATAATTTTAATAAATTAAAAATAAGCAGAATCAATGAGCCCACCTCAAATTTAGTAATGAATTAGTACGAAAGGACTTAAAGTCTGCATTTTTATACATGAAATCAGAGGAAAGCGTTTAACTTTTGAGGTCAAGCTTTATAAATATGGTATATAATATTTCATATACTACATTAGATATGTACATCATCTTCAGTCTTTACAACTGGAGTCACTGCTGGTATTTACTTTTTCCCAAAGGTCAGTATTTTCAGTTGCTTAATGGAAAATATAATAGCTTAAATAAATACTCAGTCATTATTTATGTTAAATAGAAGGAAGAGGCCCCAGGAAGAGGGTAAATTTGGACCATATCCTTTGTGTATGCTCAGTCTACTTGCAGGATGGTGGGGACTCTACCTGCTTATACAGTCTACATCACACAAACACCGGTGAACAACATATGGCCAACTCACGGTTTGCACAGGACACGTAAGCATGCAGAACCCAAGTCCTAGATTCCAGTTCAGCCCCTCATTCCTGGCCTGGGCTGCAGAGGTTGATCTGCGTTTAACAGTTTTGAGGACAAATACATGGAGTCTCTTGGGGTAGAAACATTTATTTGCAGTTGCTCTTTACATTTCCCCACCTCCTTCCCATTGTGAAAAGTCTGAATGACAGCCCACAAACGGACTCTACTATCTGGCTTGCACAGTGACCACAACCTTCCTTTTACTATCAAAGAGAAATGAATGATGATTGCAGCAAGTTGAGAACTGTGCTCAGTGTGGTGGATTTTTTTGTTTGGTTGGTTTGGGGCACTGCTAAAATAAGATTCACCAAAGTTCAAAGCTCCCACCTGTGGAGTTGAATTGGTTGTAGAAACAGTGAGGAAGAGCAGGAAGCATAGATGCAGACTGGGAGGCCACAATTCCCATAAAATAATGGGAATGGAAAAAAAGTACAGAGGGCTTGGGAGAAGGGAGAAAACACCGTTAAAGAGTTTGTTTCTTCACTAACATGCTTCCACGCTCAATAATATTTAACATTTAAATGGTGTATTTCAACCCAGAGAATCAAAAAGCGCTTTACAAACCAACACACAATTTATACTCCATCCAGGATCACTTCAACCACTACAGAAAAGCAGCCTTCTTTGGGATGGCAAGGAAGCAAATGACACACACACACAGACGTCGTGCTGTGTAAGGGAATTCTTGAGCAAGGAAAACAGGGCCATCTCTTATGGAGTCTGCCATGGGATTTTTAAAACCCACACCGAGCAGACAAGACATTTTCATTATTATTAATTAAAGACCCCAACAACAAAGTGCAATAAAATATTTTATATATTAAAAACAGACGTTAAACTGGATGTTCCCCTCTGCCCAAGGTCCCGTAACCTGAATCTCCTCAAACTTCACATGGCTGCAGAGTAGATTTTAAAACTGGGAAGGGGGGAGGCAGGCACGGGATTTATGCAACTTCTACCTTCAATCTAGACCAAGCTTGGCTTCCCTGCAAGTGGAATCACAGCTTGCTGTTTCAGTGAGAACTGACTCACTTCCTCTGCCTGTTTTATTGCTGTTCTCTTCCCTCCTCCTACTCCTTCACCCCGGCCATAAGCAATGGAACTCTGCCACCTAGTATGACAGAGGCCAGGGCGTTCCTTCCTTCACCTAGCACAAACTCTCTCAGCTCATTTTCCAATCCCCTTTGGACAGCACAAAAATAACTCCAAAAGAAATGAGAGACACAGGAGATGGAAAAATTCTCTTTTTAAAATCCTATCAACACACAATGTAACTAGCCAAACGTGTTCAGTGAAATCCTGAAAATCCACATCCCACAAGATAAGAGATGCTTTAAAATGGAACCCAGGCTGCAAACATGAATACTCCTGGACAAAAGTAATAAATGTACATTGCTTAAGAGTATTAGTGTTATTTTCCCCTTTGCTTTCTGCAGAATTGCTACAAATTTAGCAGCACTGTTTAACTACAGTGTGTAAGGTTATACAAATAATAGTGCCTTATGATACTACTATACCTTCCAGAGCAATTGCAAAATATTTGTTTGGGGGGAAAAAAATCCAATTCCTTTTCAGTTTTCCTTCCTTTGTCCTTTTTGAATTCCTATAGTACTGACTATTCAAATCTAGCATATTGTTATCTGTATGAATTCATCTAAAACCTTAGCAGTTTCCTGTCCTCTTGCTAATGTTCAACAGACTGTTCTCAAACCAGATACCTGCCTCCCCTACTTGTTCACTGGTTTAGAATCTCTTGTAGAATTTCTTTTTCTGAATTGTACTTACTTTAGTTAGAACATCTAGCAAACCCTTCCTATTTCTTTTTCACCTGCTTCAGAAACCATCTATCAAGTGTATTAGTTATTTTTAAGCAATAAATGAAGAAAATCCTTCAGATCTCAGGTTCTCTCTTACAACGTGATCAAGGCATGAGATTTTAAAAGATTTGTTGCTGACTGCAACAGATTTCAAAGCTTGAGGACCTCAATCTTGGAAGGCGAAGGGGGTGTTGCAGTGAAAGAGAGAGCAGGGAAAAAAACCAAACACCATTCCTCTGCTTTGCATCATCTTCCCAATGATTCCTCCAGTCATGCAATACAGCGAAGTGAGAAAGTGGAGGAAATATAGCTGGCTAAAACCCAATCCAGAGGGAATATTGATGTGCAAGGGAAGTCTTTTTTTGGAGACAGATAAAAATTTGTTCTCACCCAACACTGAAGGTATCTGACTTAAATA